AGGGAAAGCTGAAAACCCTTGAGGAGTAAACATTAATAACATCACAAGTATGTATTGTGACTCTTACTCCTAGCCTTACCCAAAGGGACCAGTGGTCAGCTATAGAAAACCTGCATGGACAAAAAGAAAATTCAATCCTTTGAGAAGACTGACTCCTGGATGTGAATTACATTAACTCCTAGAGACCTAGAATGTCACTGCAGTTCACTGGTTAGAGTGGGACTCTATACAGCAGTGAGGTGATCAAAGAAATTGTAACCTCGGTCTACCTTACAATGAGTTTATTGGGACCGTAAACTCTTCATGTGGTTATCTTCCCAAATCTTAAGTGTACAGTAGAAAGAGATATACTCTTCACATTGGTTTCCATGCTTTTATAACAAGAGTGATTATGATAGAAAAGACTAAGTGGAAAACCACAGAGCTTTATCCTCCCTTCACCAAATCAAGAGTAAAATGGAAGTTATATAAATCCCTTGGTTAATCACCATAGCAAGGGTCACCACAGAGGTTTAAAAGATGCATTTAATCTGCCAGTGTGGTTGAGGATGATGATGGATGGACCTTGAAGAATAACTGAGGATTATAAACTCAATCAGGTAATGAATCCAACTGCCAGTGCTTTTCCAGGTGTGGTCTCTTTTGAGGAACATATCAACAGAGGCCCTGGCATGGAGCCACTGCCAGAGCAAATGCTTTCCCTCATCTGTTTTATAGATAAAACATACCAGAAGCAATTTTCTGTCACCTGGAAGCAACTGATGAAAACCATCTTGCCTTAGTGTTGATGTAACTCTAAGGATCTGTTTGGTAAGCAGAGATCATGATCATCTCACTAGCCCACAGGATATCATAGTGGTCCACCATGTTGATGAGCTGCCTAGTAGCACTCCATTATTGTGTGTGTGTGTGTGTGTGTGTGTGTGTGTGTGTGTGTGTGTGTTATTCATTTGTTTGTGTGCACTCAGCTACATTTCTACCTTCCTATACCCTTCTTGGTTATCACAAGTGGCCAAAAGTATATAAAATACATTTATCAGACCCTTTGCAAGGTAGCTTCCAAGACAGAAGGCAGGAGAAGGCATATTTTGTTTGTATTAGGCTCCCCCCACACACACTTCTCTTATTTCTAGCTTACTTACAGATAGCAGTAACTGTGGACAGGAGTGGGCCACTGGGTTCCCATGTTATTACAGAGATAGTAGTAGCAGCAGGCATGCTGGAAGCAACTGAAAAAATGATCCTGGGCTCTGGCTGTGGTGGGGCAACAAAAGGAGCAGGTGTCAGGTATCCTGCAGTGTTATGGTGGTTGTAGCACCAATGGCAGCATTGTCAGCAATAGGTACTGCAGCTGGCTTACCTGGACAATGATTGTGGGGTGCGTGTAACACCATTTGTCATCCTCTGTTGCTGTGTTACACATTACTCTCAAATTAAGTGGATCACAATAAGCATTTATCTTACTCTTTGTGGTCAGGAATCTGGGCATGGCTTACCTGGGTACCTCACATGGCAGCTGGCATCACTCACAATGAACAAGCAAGGGATTAACTGAAGGTGCCTAAGATGGAAGCCACAAGACTTTGTGTCCTAATCTTGGAAGTGGCATCCTTCCTCAACAAAATTCTAGCAAATCAGATTCAGCAATACATTAGAAAGATCATACACCATGACCAAGTGGGATTTATTCCAGGGATGCAAGGATGGTACAATATCTGCAAATCAATCAATGTGATACATCACATAAACAAACTGAAAGACAAAAGTCACATAATCATATCAATTGACGCAGAAAAAGTATTTGACAAAATGCAACACCCTTTCTTAATTTAAAAAAAAAAAAAACTCACCAAAAAACACACACAACTCTCATCAAAGTGGGAATAGAGGGATCATACCTCAACATAATAAAAGCCCTATACGAGGAAACTACAGACAACATCACACTCAAACCCATTTCCCCTAAGAACAGGAACAAGAGAAGGATGCTCACTTTCACCACTCCTGTACAACACAGTGCTAGAAGTACTATACATAGTGATAAGACAAGAAGAAATAAAAAGCATCCAAATTGGAAAAGAAGTAAAACTGTCCTTATTTTCAGATGACATGATACTATACATAGAAAACCCCAAAGAATCCATCAAAAAACTACTAAACCTAATAAAATGAATTTAGCAATGTAGCAGGATACAAAATTAACACCTAGAAATCTACGGCCTTTTTATAGACCAATAATTAACTTACATAAAGGGAAATGAAAAAAACAATCCCATTTACCATTGTACCAAAAAAATTAAGATACCTAGGAATAAACTTAGCCAAGGACATAAAAGAACTGTACTCAGAAAACTACAGAACATTGAAAAAAGGGATAGAGGAAGACATGAACAAATGGAAGAACATATCATTTTCATGGATTGGTAGAATCAACATCATTAAAATGTCCATACTACCTAAGCAATCTATAGATTCAATGCAATCCCCATTAAAATACCAACAGCATATTTCAAAGATCTAGAACAAACTCTCCAAAAATCCATTTGAATAAAAAAAAAAAAAAGACCCCAAATAGCCATAGCTGTCCTGAGAAAGAAGAGCAAAGCTGAGGGGATCACAATACTATATTAAACTATATTACCAAGCCACGGTTCTCAAAACTGCCTGGTACTGGCACAAGAACAGACATATAGACCAATAGAATAGAATAGAATAGAGGACCCAGAAATTGACCCAAGCCATTATAATCAATTAATATTTGACAAATGAGGCAAGAGCAAACAATAGAGTCAAAACAGCCTCTTTAATAAATGGCGCTGGGAAATTTGGTCAGATGCATGCAAAAAAATGAAACTTGATCACCAAATTACATTATATACAAAAACAAACTCAAAATAGCTTAAAGGAATTGAATGTGACAGGAAACCATAAAAATCCAGTGAGACTCCATGGGAAGCAAAATTGCATACATATGTCATATAATATCTTTACAGACACAGATCCTAGGGCAAGTGATACTAAGGAGAAAATAAATACATGGGACTACATCAAAATAAAAAGCTTCTGTACAACAAAAGAAACCATCAACAAAACAACAAGAAAGCCCATTGCATGGGAGAACATACTTGCCAATGTTATCTCCAATAAGGGTTTAATCTCCAATATTTACAGGGAACTCATACAAGTTAACAAAAGGAAGATAACACAATCAAATAATGAGCAAAGGATCTAAATAGACCTTTTCAAAAGAGGACATTCCTAAAGCCAAGAGACACATGAAAACATGCTCAAAGTTACTAATCATCCGAGAGATGCAAATCAAAACAACAATGAGGTACCACCTCATACCTGTCAGAATGGCTATCATCAACAAATCAACAAATGACAAGTGCTGAAGAGGATGCAGAGAAAAAGGAACTCTCCTTCACTGCTGGTGGGAATTGCAGACTGGTGCAGCCACTATGGAAAACAGTATGGCGTCTCCTCAAAAATTTTAAAATGAAACTCCCATTTGACCCAGTAATACCACTTCTAGGAATATATCCCAAGAAACCAGAAACACCAATCAGAAAGGATATATGCACCCCTAAGATCATAGTAGCACAATTTGCCATAGCTAAGATTTGGAAATAGCCTACATGCCCATCAACAGATGAGTGGATTAGAAATATGGTACATCTACACAATGGAATACTTCACTGCTATTAAAAAAAAAAAAAAAAAAAAAAAGGAATCCTTACCATTTCAGCAGCATGGATGGAACTGGAGAGCATTATGCTAAGTGAAATAAGCCAGTCAGGGAAAGAAAAATACCACATGATCTCACTAATTTATGGATAATAAAAAACATTATAATCTGATGAACAAAAAGATAGAAGCAGAGAAGCATCGAACAAACTGTCAAATTACAGCAGGAATGCTGGGGAGTGTTGGGGAGGCGGGGTAAGAGATCAACTGAATGACTTGTATGCATGCATATAAGCATGGCCAATGGACGCAAGACACTGGGGGGAAGGAAGGGGTAATGGCATGTGCCGAGGTGTAGAGTGGGCCAGGGAAAGGTCAATGAGGATAAAAAGGAGACATATGTACTACTATTTGTTAATACTTTAAACAATAAAATTAAATTAAAAAAAAAAAAGAAGTGAAATTCTGTCACTTTTGTTGTATTCTGTTCATTAGAATAAAGTTACTAGGTCCAGCCCATACTGAAGCTAATATTTACTCAGTACTTACTCTGTGCCAGGCCCATACACTCGGTCTCCTTCTCTTCTAAGCCAGTGGCTTGTCTGAGTTCAGAGGTGCTCGCTCAGCATTTCTGACTCCCCCGAGGCTTACAACACTAGATGCCCCTTTAAGTGGCTTTAATGCCTCTGCCTACACCACCTCCAACAACTGCCCTCACCGCTTAGAGTGATCTATTTTCGGTTCTTGGGGAGCTCCAAGCTTTCTTCCAACTAGACAACCTCCTCCAAAACCTTTTTGGAAAGGTGGGCACAGTGTACCGCGCAACGCCTAACACTTCCTCCATCCTAACACCTTTATGTTGTTGTAATGGGCAGGTTCCTTGTCTCTTCCTACAGTTCCTTACGTGCTGGGACGTGCTTTCGACGCTGTTATACGCCACCTCCCCTGAGCGGCCAAGAGCACGCACCTGCCTGGGCTTCGACACTTTCCGAGGCTCGCGCAGCCGCAAAGCTTCGCAGGTAGAGAGAGCATGCGCACCAGGGCAGCGTAGCGTGGCGTGGCGTGGCGTGGCCACGTGTCCTAGGAGGGGGCGGGCTCAGACGCTCGAATCCACCTCACACTGGCTGCGCTTGCGCGCTGCGGTCAACCGTTGCGGGGCGTCCAGGGCCCTGAGTGAGGACCCTTGGCCACCTGCACCGTGCCCTTCGGCTCTGTAGTACCCGGCCTGGCGGCCCCAGGACGCTCCCGTCGCATGGCGGAGTGCTGCGGAAGATGCCCATGAAGTCCTTAGTCCTTCTGGGTGTGCTGTTGACATGGCCTTCGTTCGTGCCATCGTTTCCGAGTGAGTGACTGGCCTGAGGGGAATTTCCGGGGTCCGGACCCCCCGGAATTCCGGCTCCTTTCCTTGGTCCCACATTCCTCCCAAACTTCACTGCCCAGGGTCCTGGCCTCCAAGGCTGAGGTGTGCCCCTCCTCCTCCTCACTTCCTGCCCCCTGCGAGGCTGGCCTGGCCACGCAGCCACCCAGGCAGTGGTCCCAGACTTGACCCAGGATGCACCGGCTGGGCACATGGGGCACACGGACCTCCTTCCACCGGAGAGTCACTGCGCATGCGGTAAAGCAGGGTGCGCAAACTGCAGGCAGGCCAAGGCGGCCTGTTTTTGCATGGCTGGCTAGCTAAGGATGGTTTTTACATTTTTAAGTGTGAATATGAAATGTGACCTTTAGTGAAATGTGAAAAGTATGAAATTCCAATTTCATTGTTCATAAATAAAGTTTTATTGGAACATAGCCACACTCATTCCTTTATGTATTATTGTCCTGGCTGCTTTCCCTTGTTATAACATCCGAGTTAAGTGGTTGCCACAGTGACAGTTTGGCCTGCAAAGCCGAAAATATTTACAGAAAAAAAGTTTAACCCCTGTGATAAAACAGGGAGAACATGTAGATTGTGGGCAGCGGCCTGGGACACTTAACTGACCCCATGTGCACCCCTGCAGAGCATCCTCAGGAGTATAGCATTAAAAACCTTTGTTAAGAAGAATTATAACTTATGACCTGTCTCCTCCCACCCCACTTCTAGTAGTTGAAAATTAGTAAGGTCCTTGAGGTATTTAAATAGTGAAGTCCAGTATCTGATAGCTGATATTCCAGATATGATTTGCTGCTTGTCCATCTAGTTTAACTATAATTTATTATAGCATTTTGGAATGTTGGGGTTTGGTTTAACCAAATAAAATTTGATAGGAAGGTATAAAGTACTAAAGTGCTTGCTAATTGTGCAGGCCTACATTTCATGAGTAGTAGTGGCAAAAGTTCTGGATTAAGTGTCTGAGTAGGTAAGTTAGACCATTAAATACTATCACTTATGATTTTTAGTTGTTTCAAACAAAAATATTTGAAAAAATGTTCTTTGCCATAAATAAACAGAACATACTGAAAATAATAATTACCTTTTCCTGATATCTGATGGTCTTTGCATTTTGGTAGTTGTAGATCATTATTAAGTCACAACTAACATATGGGGAGTTTAGATGACATTGGTACATATTGTACATTCTGGGTCTGCTAAAATGTTAGAGATATCTTTAAGAAAAAAAGAAAGAAAGAAACATTAATATATAAATAAGAAAATGGCAATAAATACTACCTATCAATAATCACTTTAAATGCAAATGGATTAAATACTCCAATCAAAACAGGGTATCTGAATGGATAAGAAAACAATACCCCTATATAGGTATTTAAAAAAAAAAAAGGAGGCAGTGTTTATTAAAATACTGTACATTTCATCTTCAAAATTGAGCTATCAGTTTTACAGTGCATATATATATATACATTTTTTTGGGGGGGAACACCCTATATGTGCTGTCTATAAGACAAAAAATAAAATTAAAAAAGATACAGCAGCCTTGTTGACACATTAGACCAGATAGATTTAATTGGTATTTTTAGAGCATTATACCCAAAGCAGAAGAATATACATTCTTTTCAAGTATACATGGAACTTTTTTAGATAGACCACATTAGGCCACAAAACAAATTTCAATAAATTTATGAAGATTGAAATCATATCAAGCATTTTCTCTAGCCACAATAGTATGAAACTAAAAATCAATTACAAGAAAAAAAACAAAACACTGGAAAACACACAAACAAATGGAAGCTAAATAGAATGTTACCAAACAATATATGGGTTGCCTTTTCCTATGGGAGCTGCTGGGTAGAGAGGAATGTGGCCATCTCCTCTCCCTACCATGGTGTGTACTCATCCACTGACATCTGTGTACTCTAAAAAGAGGGAAACATCTTGCAAAAATGTCACTTTTCCTGCTGTATTCAAGGCTCCCATTCAACTAGATATTGTGAACTTTGTTCATACCAACTTGTGCAAAAGCAATAGCCCTATGCTGTCAGTGAATTGGCAGGTCACCAAACCAATGCTGAGTCCTGGGGTACAGGCAGAGCTGATGGGGGTGGGGCCAGCTGGTCCACCACTCACAGCCCCTCCCAATGGCCAGCCCCATCTCCAATAGGTCCCCTACCCCAATCAGGATTGGGGCTCACCGGCCAATTGCTCATGGTCCCTCCCCTCAGCCGGCCCGGCCCTGATCAGGCCCCAATCGGGGTGGGCCAGCCAGCCAACCTCCCGCCATCTCCTCCTCCTGACAGGCCTGGTCCTGGTCTGTCCCAATTGGGGATGGTCTGGCTAAACCCCATCCATGCACAAATTTGTGCACTGGGCCTCTATTACTTAAATATTTAATTATATTTTAACATTTAAAATAGAGTTGTATTCTTCCAGGACAATTTTTTAAATTTTTGTATCGATTTCAGAGAGGAAGGGAGAGGGAAAGAGAAATAGAAATATCATTGATGAGAGAGAATAATTGATTGGCTGCCCTGACCAGGAATTGAACCATTACCTTCTGGTCTATATATAGAAAAAGCCAGCGACCAGAACACCATAACAACTGAATGACCAGTTGCTGTGACACTCACTGCAGCCAGTGAACCGGCCTAATCAGAGAGTGGGGCTGGCTGACCAATCTCCTACAGACCCTCCCCCTAGCTGTCCCTGCCCCTGATCACCCCCCCATTCTAATAGAGGGCGCGGCCAGTGGGCCAACCTCTTATAGCCTCTTCCCCTGGCTGGCCCCACCCAAGATTGGCCCCCCAACCCGATCAGGGGCAGGGCTTGCTGGCCAACCACCTGTGGCCCTTCCCTCCATCTGGCCTGCCTCCAATGGGCCTCCACCACCCTGATTGCCCCCCCACCCCACTTAGGGGCAGGCTGGCTGGCCTACCGCCCATAGCCCCTCCCCATGGCAGGCCTCACCTTCAATATGCCCCCCACCCCGATTGGGATGGACAAGCTGGCCAACCTCCAACCAGCTCCTTCTCCTGACAGGCCTGGCCCCAATCTGCCTCGATGGGGGTGGGGCCGGCCAGAGCCCACCCATGCACAAATTCATGCACTGGGCCCCTAGTTTATAGGTTGACACTCAGCCACTGAGCCACAAGGCTAGTCCTTCCCAGACAGTTTTATCATCATACTTCTCTTTTGCCCGCATCCTTTTGTCATCTTTTTATGGCAACATTGTGTAGTTACTTATATGTTCCTACTTTTTTTTTAATAAATCTTTATTGTTCATATTATTACAATTGTTCCTCTTTTTTCCCTCCATTGCTCCACTCCACCAGGTTTTTACCCCACCCTCTGCCCTTTCCCCACCCCCCACTGTCCTCATCCATAGGTGTCAAATTTTTGTTCAGTCTCTTCCTGCACCCCCTCTCCCCTTTTCCCTGAGAATTGTCAGTCTACTCCCTTTCTATACCACTGATTCTATTATATAGAATACTGTTCTATATAATACTGTTCATCAGATTTTTTAATTCGCTTGGTTTTTAGATTCACTTGTTGATAGTTACGTATTTGTTCATAATTTTTATCTTTATCTTCTTCCTCTTCTTAAAGAATACTTTTTAGCATTTCATATAATTCTGGTTTGGCAGTGATGAATTCCTTTAGCTTTTTTTTTTTTTTTAATTTGTGAAGCTCTTTATCTGGCCTTTAATTCTGAGTGATAGCTTTGCTGGGTAGAGTAATCTTGGTTGTAGGTTCTTGCTATTCATCACTTTGAATATTTCTTGCCATGCCCTTTTGGCCTGCATAGTTTCTGTTGAGAAATCAGCTGACAATCTTATGGGTGCTCCTTTATATGTAACTAACTGCTTTTCTCTTGCTGCTTTTAATATTCTCTCTTTTTCTTTTGTTCTTGGAATTTTAATTATGATATGTCTTCTTGTAGTCCTCTTTGAATTCCTTTTGTTTGGGGTTTTCTGTGCTTCTTGGACTTGTAAGTCTATTTCTTGCACCAGGTGGGAGAAGTTTTCTGTCACTATTTCTTCAATAGGTTTTCAGTATCTTGCTCTCTCTCTTCTTCTGGGATCCCCATAATTCTAATGTTGGTATGCTTTAAGTTGTCCCAGAGGCTTCTTACATTATCTTCAACTTTCTGGATTGTCTTCTTGCTTCTGTGAAGGAGTGTGCTCTGGCTCTTTGTGTTCCAAATCTTGGACTTGATTCTTGCGATCTTCCAGTCTGTTTTTAGGACTAAAAAATTAATATTTTTTATTTCAGTCAGTGTATGCTTTATTTCTAGTTGATCCCTTTTCGTTTCCTCAAAGGTTTCATTTATTTTATTGGCCTTTTCTAGGAAATTCTTGAAAAACCTATAACTGTGGTTTTGAACTCTATGTCTATTCTTTTGCTTTCCTTCATTTCCTTTCTTTATGGCCTGTCTCCTCTCTGCATTTCATCTGCTTCCCTGAGTTGATGGTGTAGCTTTGTGTGCTAGGTGTCCTAGCAGGGCCCAGTAGCTCAGCCTTCCCAGTTACCTGAGGTGGACACTCTTGGTGCAGCCCTTTGTGGGCTGTATGTGCAGTCTGTTGTTAAGCTTTGCTTGCTGTTAGTATCACTGGGGAGAGTTGATCTCCAAGCCAATTGGCTGTGAGGATCAGTGGTGTCTCACTAGGAGGGCTTCTGTGCTCAGCTTGGATGGGGCAGAGTCTCGGAATGGCGCAGACAAACTTTGGTTTCCTGTCAGCCCACCCTAAGAGGGTCCTGTTCCTAAGTCCCGCAGTAATGGTTGCTGGCCATGCGCACCTCTGAAAGAGTTTTGCCCACTGCCTGACAGTCCAATTTCTCCTTGACTGGAGCTAGATATCAATGTAATAGGGAGGTTTTGTTTTCCTCCCGAACAAGAACGCTAACTGCATGTTAGCTGCCTGCCCTCTTCGCGCGCTCTGTGAGTAAGCCAGCAGCGTATTTGGTGGCCG